TTGATTATTCCGTTTTATATGAATTCCATGTTGTACGAGTCACTTAGATTTTACAAATACGTGAGCCGTTCACAGCCCGGCACACGTATTTGTAAAATCTAAGTGACTCGTACAACATGGAATTCATATAAAACGGAATAATCGACAGTGTTATAGGGGGGTCGACTTGTAATATTCATTTTTTTTTAATCTGGGAAAATATTTTTTTCTAAACGTTGTGCTTCATCCAAAGAACAACTGAAAGTAATAACAAAAAACATTAAATAAATGCTATAAAATTAATTTAATTTGACTTTTTTAACATTAGAATGTTTTATTAATAATCCAATTCATTTGTATTGTTAAATGTATAATTATATAATATGTTAAATTCGAATAAAACGATTATTGTATTTTTTTAAAATATTTTCTTCACAAAATTCACAATGTTTAAGCCTGTAAAATGCAAATTCTTAAGTGTAAATAATGGATTTTATTCTTGCATGATTGAATTTCGTTCTTCTCCTTTTTTAGTTTCTGTTTTCTGTATTTTCAAGATGAAAATTAGCTAAATGAAAAAATAAAACAGATTTATATCCAATGTATTCTGTACAGTGATTAAAATTTCTTTTCTCTATGCTAAACATTTTAAAATATACAACTTCTCTTCTTGAATTATTTGATATTTATTGTATACATTTAGTAATACAATAAATGTTTTTGAAATTTACTCTGATATTCGAACCTCAATTATGATCATATTAATAAAATAAAAATGCTTTAATTAAATTTTATTACTTACTTCATTAAAAAAGTCTTGTACAAAAAGCAAACGAGTTATTATGCTTCAAAAAGGTGAACAAAATAATGCATTCCATGCACCCGCACGAACATCCATATATACAGAAAAATTCCTCCAAACTTTTTCTTTTGTATTTTTCGACGTTTTGAGGTCCCGAGTTCAAAAAACTAAAAATCTTGGAAGGTCATTTTTTTCACCAATTGCCGTAGTTTATTTCGGTGATATATGACAGTTAGGAAAGTAATTATTAAAATAAAATTGTCTAAACTAAAGAAAGGTATCAATGATTATTACAAAAATAAAACACTATTCGTATATTCTAAGGTATTTCGTTTAAAAGGGCGTAAATAATAACAGAGAAACCGTTTTGAAGTTCCAGTATTTTCCATGTATAATGTAAACAAACGTTTTCGAAAATACGAGGGCTGTTCGAAAAGTTCGCGGCCTTGCCTATATGCGGCGCTGCGATCAATTTAATTTTTGGCGGGAATAATTCAGCCATCCTTGCTAAAGATACGATACCAATTTCCGCTTGATTTGTCGTAAAGTTTTGCCACGACAGCTTAGCAGATAGTCAATGTGCACATGCTTTGTCAAAAATGGAGAAGACGGAGACTCGTGCGG